AAAAAAAAAAAGAAACGTGGAGGATAATAGGATATCGGAAAAGAGAAGAAGAAAAATGAACAATCACGGATCGATTTTTCTTCAAGGCGGATCTGCAATGGGTCAGCAAAGATTCAGCAGTTAATGGCCTCCCACCTGTCGACTGCCTTGCTCTTAAGACCTCACATTTTTCTAGTCCTGCCCTCTCAGGCATCCAATTTTCGGTTCAGTCCCTCTCAACCCTCCCTGATTCGCTAGTCCCTCCCTCTTCAGTCTCAATCCCTGGGCTGCGATAGCACTCTCCCTCACCTGACATTGATGACGTCATCAACCCTTCCAGTCAACCAGTAATATCCATCTTTGTCTCTGCATGTCAAGCCAACACACCAGAAGAAAAGGTCATTCGTTAGAAATTAGAAGAGAGAATTATGTGTGTGCGTGTTTGGACATGAGCCCTCTTGAGTAGGCAGAACTGACTCTCCTTCTTCTTATTCACCTTCCTCTTCCTCTTTGATCTTCTTCTTCTTCTCCTTCTCTTCCTCCTCCTCGTCCTCCTCTGTTGACTTCTTACCGACAAAAGATCCCTGACGAGGCTGGTAGGCGACCAGCCGAAACCGGTCGGGTCCACGCGCCGTCGTGCCGCGCGATACGTGTTACTGAGAGCTTCATGTCTTATCTTTTCAACATGTCGCGATCGGGCGATCGGGCTTACCGTGCTTCTATCTTGCGTCCTCGAACTGATCTTCTTCCTCTTCCTCCTCGTCAAACTTCGACTACTCTGGTCCCTTGTCTTAACTGGGGAGATTGCGTTGATGTGTCCCAAACTGTACTACGATGCTATGGGAAATTTGTTTGTATGCAGCTCAGGGTATGTTGCCGTGACTCAGAGTGAGGAAGTGATCTGGGAGAGCGCGAAACTCAACTTGGTCAACTTGCCGAGTAAGTAGGCTAAGGACGGATTCGAACCATCATTCGTGGATTTACAGTCCAATACATTACCTTTATGTTACAGGAGTTTAAGCAATGAGGGTTGAACTCTTTAGGGAAATGGGACGGGAGAGGGAAAGCTGGATGTGCTTACGTGCTACCAAAACATAAGGACTTAGCACGTTTTCGACCTATCTGTCCTACATACAGTGAACCTACTGTACAAACATGCAATAAGGTATCAAGAGCCTTGAATTTGATGCTAAATTTGTTACCTGGTCACTGTCATTTCAACTTACCATCGGTGAGTTTGTTGGCTGATAGGTTGAGGAAAGCTAGCAGGCAGATGAAGAACCCTTGCAAGGAAAGTAGGGTCATGGCAGCCTCGTATGATATATATGATATAAAAGATATGTTTAGTCGGCTGCCACACGTTGAGATCTTGAGGGCTTTGGAGTGGATACTGACCTGTTTTCGGGACAAGCAAGGGATTAGAGTAAACCCACGAGGAAAGGGAGCGACATTTGGCCAAAAGAAGCAGGAAAGATGGTCGTCTATTGAATTAGCAGACATTTGGGAGTTTGTTAAAATTTGACCTGTCGCACACATATACCCGAGCACACGATATTTTGTTGAAGCAAGTTTTTGGTATCACTATGGGGAAAAGTACGAGCCCACCACTCGCATGTATTATGTGTGCACATGTGGAGTGGCGGTTTCTCGTTACCTTGGGTACCGATCGTAGGCTGGTATTTGGAATTAGACTTATGGATGACGTGTCCCTATTCCTGGCCTATCGGAGTGGAGACTCAGGCTCTCTCGGCATGGCCAATCGAATCCGGAGGAAATTCGAACGCTGTTACCCAAGGGCCTTGACTTTGAACGAGGAAACGATATGGACCTCCGGCGAAGTGATGTTCAAATCAAGACAGGACTTCGATTCCTGGTCCAGCAGAAAGCAAAAGGCGGCCTCAATCACAGGATGGCTACACCGGATTGACCGTAGCACTACGGTCAGGACCAGTATCCCGCGACAAGTTTTGACGCTGCGAAAGGAATACCGGGTGAAAAAGTTCCCGGACCATTTTTTTGGGGACGGTACTGGAAAACTTTGCCAGGGCACGCAACGACATGTGCAAATTTACAGCAACACTACTAGGAGGCACGTATCGGTTAGAGATAGCAAGACAATTGATAGTTCATCTGTTGTGATATTTGTCCTCTTTCATCGACATGGCGTCGGGGGCAACCCCCGCTAGGAGTGATGGAACGAAGGAGTGAGTCTAGGGGCGAAGACGGCGGGAGAAGGTGGTAATTTCTCGAGACCATTTTCGCGGTTCTCTTGGGTTAAGACCACTTCTCATTGGTTTGTTATGTGACTTATGTCTGATCCATTGTCTTTCCAGTGGACTTTCAATCATTGTCGTTCTATCGACTTGTGATTGTGTTGTTGTTCTTACTTCTTACCTGTTCTTTATGATTGCAATGAAACCCATGTTTATGAATGAATGTCAGTTCTGAAGAATACAACAATAGCAATGCGGACTGTTCTAAGTTCTGCAACTTCTGCTGGTCTTACGGCAAACACACACTAGGCCCTCAAAATCTCAAAATCCCAAAATGAGCGGCCAGATCTAGTCCTTCCTTTACGAGGACTCGATCTGGCCGCTCATTTTGTGATTTTGCAAGTTTGAGGGCCTCGTGTGAGTATGCTCTTACTCTTTTTTTTTTTTTTTAAGTTGTATCAATTTATCACACTTGCAGTGCACCGTGTCTGGTGTGCAGTGCATTATTTTTTCTTATAATTATATCATACTTGCGGCGTACCAATGTGGTGTTTTTTTTCTAGATTGCAAGGCTCCTGTGTGCGCAGTCTTCTTTGTGGTGTTTTTCTTTTCTTTTCTAATGTGCAAGGCTCCTGTGCGCAATTTCTTGTTTCCTATAAGCTAATCATACTTGGAGTGCACAGGAGCCTTGCACACTAGAAAAAAAAAAACACCACAAAGAAGAGTTTGCAAGTCTTCTGTGCGGTGAGCTATGAGGTGTGCAGTGCGGTGTGCATTGCACAAGGCTCCTGTGCAGACGCACCATGCACACTCGTGCAGTGTGTGCATTGCACAATGCACATGCAGTGCAAGGGTGGTGAAAGGGGAGAGGGAAAGTAGTCTGCGAGTGTGTTTTTAAAAAAGCACCCCAAGTGTGAGTGTGTGTGCTTGTGTGCTGTAAACTGTCACCACAACAACCCCTTTTGGCCCTACATGACAACACAAATATGCTCAGCAAGACAAGAAAGACCAAACAAGGGCCATCGAGACAGAACTTGGGCTGAACGAAATCCGAGAGACACCAACATGTGAACTCTTCGTGAAAGATGGGTGTGTGTGATTCACCTTCTGCATCCATCTCCAGTAAAGTAGTATCCCTTGTATGGAGTAAAGTAGGCCATCTCAAATCTCTCCTGTTCGTTGTAAAGAGTCCGCATCATTCCAGGCCAAGCTGCCTTCAAACAGAGGACGCCGGAACACTCTCCGTCCAATTCATTGCCATTCTCATCAACGATCACAGGCTGCATACAAATGAATGACAAAGCACCCCACATCAAAGTGCCAGAAGTTGATTAAAGTTCTTTGAAGTTCATTAAACTTTATTCGAAACAAGCAAGTTGAATTAAATAAAACAAAAAAAACAACGTAGTGTAAAGTTGTAAACATTACTAAAAAAAAGATTGCAGACGACGATAAATAATTAAGTTTTGTTAGAACATCACTTCATCAACTTGAAGGAGGACACATGCTGGAGTACATGGAAGTTCTGAGGTACACTGTTGCACGATCGAACTCAATGTGTGAAAAGACTTTACATGTCACAGTGGACATATGGAGTTCATGGCACGTGACAGCCGAACAGAACATAAAGTCATTATCACTGTATTTGGGGTAACTTGACTGAATACAATGTGTGTTCTGTTTGGGTGAAGACGGTAGCTTGACTGAATTCAATGTCCAGTTTATAACTCTAGAGTCTAGACTAAGGGCCTCACTCCGCTACGCAACATTCCAAATGCATCTGGCCCTTGTGTCTGTCCTAATTCATTCAAAATGTTTGATGAGTCCACATGCATCTAGATACTGAAAAAGCCAAATGCATGTAGAATGTTTCGTGGAGCGAGGCCCTAACTCTGTAGATATGTGCGGTCACACAGGAGCACCCGGCAGTCCACTCGATGGCGACGGTCATGGAGGAGCATTCACAGTTCGTAACCCCCAATTCCCTCATCAGCTTAAACCACCAGTACCTTCCCCTGCTTGAAAATAAAATATGGGCCGGTATATTCGGGAGCCAAGCGGGAAAGGGCTGCCATTCACAAATTTCATCGGCAGCCCTTTTTCCATTTCGGGCCTTTTTTTCTGCCCGCAGCCGGCATATGGGAAAAGTACTGGTGGTTCAAAATTCAAACACACACTAGTACGTCGGAAGCCAAGTGTTTCTCAAACTATTATGAAAGACTCTCTGAGCCAGGAGAGAGAGAGAGAGAGAGAGAGAGAGAGAGAGAGAGAGAGAGAGAGAGAG